CCCCCCCCAACCAGTGCGTTCGTACTTATTGAATGAGCCCTAAACGACTAGTTGGATGAGATTTTGATGAAAAGCGGTACACTCACTAAACTCAAGGGGCTCGTCACGAATCTGATCTCAGAATGAGGGGACGCCATGGGAACAGGAGTTATTGACAGTTTAAGGTAGGCGCTGTCCATAGAAACGACAATGATTTGTCAAACCATATGCTATCACGAGATCTGGACTACAATTAAGACTATTAATCAACACTGGATTCAATGATAGACTAATCGGTTACATAATAATAAAGAAATATCATCTATTAGAAATTACCATTTAGGCACTTTTTAACATTCTTGTTTTGTCAAGTAAGTTAGATCACTTGTATTTTGAAAAATGTACGAGAGCATAATATTTTATAGCCAACAGTTTAAAAAGTTATTGAAAGATTTTTGGGAATACTATTTTGGGAATACATATTGAAGATCTTTATATAATTTCAACAAATATTCTGATTGAATTAGACTTTTGTCCATAGACTTAACCCTTTAACATCAGGTTCATTAATATATAGATCTCAATGTGCAACTCTAGCGCCTCTATGGTTGTTAAAAACTCATATCAATAAAATATGAGCCATTTGATTTTCTATATCATAATATACTTACAGGAATTATAGAAAAAGAAAGCAATGTTAAAAAAGCAAATAAGTTTGGCATACAGTATAAGTGAATGCTTACGTTGTTTATCATATAATGATTACACGGGTATGAAGAATGTCAGATTTAGTGTGGATAAGAGTGTTTACTTTGCCTCCAATTTATAACTCATCCATTAGACCACCCCTTGCCTCACATTCTTTGTACATTTGGTTATAATACTACTGTATTCTATCGATATTTATTTGTTTTGATAACATTCAATAAAATACATAATATGTATCATATATAATGTTATAGATAACTTATGTACCGTATATGTTATGCATTACAATATGTAAAGAATATTAAAATACTTTATGATACATAAACAATAATTTAAGTGATTGCATGTTTAGGTGTCAATTGCATACAAAGTATAGAAATTAATTTGACATCCAATGTAAACACATCTGTCTGTTCTCTGGTGTTTTCTTAGCAGTTATAGTCTGTCTGTTCTCTCGTGTTTCACTCATTTTGTACTAAATTTTCTTTTCATTCTATTAAACATTCACTTTCTATGTAAACATTTTTCTCAACAAAATTGTTTATTTCCAGACCAAGACTGACTTAATTTATATATAATGACCGTATATTAGACCATAACTTATGGTTAGCATTCATTTGAATTGCTTTCACTTTCACTTAAATATTATATTTCTTAATAAGTTTATTCTTCATCTAATAGTTTGTGTTTATTCTTAAAATAAGTTTACTTTTTCTGTTCAATTAATATTCTTTCAATAATAACATACATTGAGAATAATATTTTTCAAAACCACACTAAACACATTTTTATTTAAACAAATCTGCTCTTATTTATTCAATAATGAAAAATGTTTTGTTTAATTAATACTAATGTATAACTTTTAGCAGTAATAGGCTTTAAGTATAAGTTATTAAGTAATTAGAAAGAAATTGTATAATATTTTTCATATAATGAATTGATAAATAATTAAATGTTTTGACATTTTATGAAAACTAATGAAACTCTACTTAATTTTACGAAATACTTGTGAATAACTAAAGAATGTTAAGTGTTTTATATTGAATGTGAATGAATGTGAATTTTGTATCCCTTTAGATGGTTTGCGTTTTGTCGGTCACTTCATTGGCCTTATTTGTGGGGAAACTTGTAATGAGTTGTTGTTCTCTATTAGAGGTTTGTTTGATATCATCTTTGAATTCCTTGGAGTGCCTCCATTTCATACGGCGATTCTGTGGCCAATATAGACATTCACTATTATTATAGACTGTCATCTATATATTCAATCATTTTCATAACAAACATATAACTGATTTTGCATTTTCCAATCAGTATAGCATTTACTAATATAGTAATAATTATAGTATAAACTAAACAAATTGTATACTTTATTGATTCCTGTGGTATAATTAAGTATAACTTAAATTTTTTATTACACTTAAAATGAAAGATTTATATTATAGGGGAACCATAAATGAGAAACTATGCAGAGTATTATTGAACGCATAATTGAATTCTTAGTTTATAATACAACAATTAATGATCTAATTACTCTATAAACATCATACTCTGGTTTAATTCACTATAAACATCATATTAAAAGCATTTGTTAGTCTACTGAAGTGCAGTTAATTGAAAGGAATTTATGTTGTATTGATTTATTGACATTTGAGATGAAAGACAGACCTGAAACCAAACCTTGACCTGAGAGTCGCTGAGGTTTAGAGACTGAGCCAGGTTTTGTCTCTCAGGTTTAGTGATGTACTTTTGCTTTTGAAATCGTTTTTCAAGACCTTTCCTCTGAAGCGAATGGAAGACAGCTTTTAGAAGAAGAAGAGTTGTTTTAGAGTTTTGTAAATGATTTGTTTAATGAGTTCTTTAAACCTCTTCCGGAGTTCTTCCTCTTAGCGGACTGATTGGCCGATTGGTCGCTATTTCTCACATTCGAGTGATTGTAAAGACTGTGAAGAGTGTTGTGATGACTGGCGTACGAATCGGTCGGATAGGGACCCAAACCTAACGGCAAATACAGTGTTATAAGTGAGTCACCAAAATATCTAATAATAGTTATAATATAACTTATATATAAGTGCGATAATATGTCACTCAAAATACTTTTCGCAATATTTTCATTGTGTTTATAATATGAATAAATTGTTTCTTTTAGAGACTATTAAATGACGCGAATAACGGTATAATAGTCATCAAAATGATGTACGCTTTGCTTCATTTTGCTTTCAATCCATGCAGTGAGCACTGACTCTATCTATACTTCACAGGACTTGTGCCCACACTTATCGCATGCCATCAACAAATGTATATTCAATGAATGCATTTCTCTTTTAGTTACCCCCAGTAAAAGATTTTTTGTGTTTAGTTTAAATCTGTTATTATATGCAAAAACATGTATTATTCACTCAAACAATTGACTCAAACTTTTTTATGGGATAAGGTCTAAACTTTTTTCTAATTTTCTTTGGAGTAGTTTATAATTTGTTTACTTTATGATCAAAATACATTAATGCCATTTAAGATGCTTTAATAGATAATTAAACTAATCATCCTTTAGTTTTATGTATGCATTTTAGTTGTATGCATTTGCTGAATATTAAGTAAAACTTATTTTAAATCACAAATAAACTTTACGCAAAGTTTTCAACAAATTTTCAAAAAATTATATCCAAGTTATCTATTAGTATAAAGATTGCCTGGATCTACTTGTAAAACAATAAATTGTATTAATTGATTGATAAAACCTATTGATTATTCCAGATAAGTATAAATTAAGTATTTAATAAACAATTAATAATAATAAAATTATTGGTTGGAGAAATAGATCATTTTATAGTAATTGTATTATTCATTTGAAAGTTTATGGATTTATAAATTGTTGACTATAATTAGAATGAAACTCTATTAAAGTTTGAGCATAAATCTTGAAATTAATTTATTTACATTAAAGATGCTAAATAAGACAAATATTTATATTAATTCAATTAGATTATACAACCCTTATTATAATATTGACAGATTTTATAGAAATATATATGTTTAGAGTTTATTAATATTTAGAGTATTAACAAAAGTAGTGATGACTTACTGTTGCGATAAGTATACCACTCGTAATTGTACGGCGAAACCATTGGATTATTAACGGCAATACATTGCGAGAGATAGTATGAGTCCATGTATTTAGGCTGTGCCGAACTTGTGTGGGATACCACTGAACGACTATCAATGTATGCATTCATGTCTTCTTAAAACAATTGAAATTTTCATTACATTTATTATACATTTATTGCATCTGTAAATCTATTTACGATCATTAAACAGCTTAAGTGTTATATACAAGTTTATTTTCTAAAAGTTTATTTTCTTAAAAGTTTATTTTCTTTTTCTCATTCTGGATACTGTAAATAGTTGTAATGCTTACTGTATGTGATAGCTTGTATCAAATGTTTTAGAGATGGAAATGACAATAGTTTTATTAGTATATGCTTACTTATTACAAGACAAATGTTTATAAATTAATCTAAAATTTCACGATAAAAATGATATTTGAATTGTTTATTTGATTAATAACATAAATGTATTAAAGCAAAGTCTATTTTGCAATTGTGATTAATTAAAAATACTAGTTTATCTTATGTTAATATATATTTTCAAATGCTAACGTTTTATAAGATATAAGAAATTTTAAGATTTAAAAATATTTATTAGTATTGAATTTCTGTAATCTTTATACATTATAAATGGTAATAGTAATAGTAATCATACGGTTTAGTTGAAAGTTATTGTGAGGTTTGAAGTGTTGGTCATCTTCTAGGATCCTTTCGACCGAGAATTTCAACATTTTCTTTATATTCTCACTCTTTCTGTCCGACACTTCTTGCTCTCCGTTGCGATGTCTTTCTTGAGTGTCTAATAACTTATTTACCGAAAACTTTTCGAGTGAAACACTTTTGCAAAGGGTATCGCTATTTGTGTTCATTATTGACTTTAATCGTCACAAAACTATTAATATGTTGTTTTAAATTTCAAATGAAAATATTAAAAATATTTGAGAGGAGCAGCAAAGTAATGAGTTTGAAATTCACGTGTTTATTGAGAGGCTTTAAGAACAAAGTGTTTGATATGTGTTGGTATAAAAAGGCATCACTTTGTATGAATAAGCAAATGAATGGATTGGTTGGTGCGGTATGAGCTCAGCCCTCCCATCCCGCACGAGAAACAGCATCTCAAACAGATTCTGACTGACAGACAAAATGTGTGTTTGCTTTTCATATAACAATTTAGTGATTTGTGATCTCTGTTTCAATTGACAGATGAGTGTTTGATATTTGCCGCACCCCTTGCCTGTGCCCCTCCGTCCCCCAAAAGTGTGTCATATCATCATTTGGAGGCATTGAGAGCATTGATAAACACGAAAACTGTTGATCTGCTAATTAGTTAATAATTTGAAAATTATTTTTGCTATCGATTTGATGATTTGGTTCATTCATTCAAAAGGGTAACCGCACGACAATCATCTGTTTCTCATTATATTTCACAATCAATTAGTAAGAAATTTAATGAATGAATGATTTGATTAAGTTTTTCCGTTTCTCTCATTTACACATCTTCTGGAGTTATCATATATCCAATGTTAATGTCTCTAAGCTTACAATTCTTGTCATTGCTTTACTTATTTCAAGTCTTCACTTAATTTAGAGCCAATCGAGGGATAGCTCACAATATATAAATAGTTTCCTGTTTTTGTTAAACATCTTAGTTATTGTTTATACCAATAAAACGATTGCGAATTCATGAGTATAATGTGATTGGCAACTCAATCCTAATTACTTATAACTAAATCATTATCTCTTAACAATCTTTCGATAATTTAACAATAATTGACAAGTATATGAATATTTCTTAAGTAGACATTAATTTATATTTTTAAAAATTTATGAAATTTAATGTTTTAAACATTAAAATGTATTAATGAATTGGAATCGACCCAAATGAATATACAGTAAAAATGATTTATGAATTGGGTTTTAAATGGTAATTTAGCTTTACTTGACAATTATTTTCATATGTAAGTGATTTTATGCAAAATTTAACTATTTTATAAATATAATTTAATCTTATAATAATTTTTTAACAAGATATTGTAATATAAATTTAATTTAGTTACTGTAGAATAAAGAACATGTTTTATTAGTTAATAATTTAGTAACTCATTTGACAACAATTATGGGGATTCGCTGTCCTTTAAGACAACAAAACAATTGTTTTCTAAAATACATTTTGCATTCATGTTTTGCCGAATGAAACCATTCTTACAAAAGCATCCCTTTTTGCAGCTAACCTTTGGGTCACAACTGGTGTTCTCTTTGTTACAAACTTTATCACAAACTTTACTACAATTCCTGTACTCTTCGTTTGGCGGACACGACACCACACTCTCTGAAAACAACATTCAGAATACGATTAATTGAGAAGAAGTCACTCAAACCCAACTCACTCTCAGAACACATCTCTTTGTTGACACACTTTCCCGAACTATAGTCCCGAATGAGACCCGAAGGACAGACACATCCGGCGATGCATTCGTGATCTTCGCGCTCGTCCTCAGGACAGGCGTTGGGCGGAGTGTCGACATTACCGCAGTGGATGTCACACGAAGACGGACAAAGCTTGTAGATCTCATCGGTCGGACAGCTCTCTGCTATTCACAGATAGTGGTCAACAGACTAGAGCTCAACATATTGTGGTCAGTAGTGGTGATCACTTACAACAGCGATGACTGGGAATACACTTATGTTCGTCGTCTTTGACGAATTCAGGACTACAGACACACGCCTTCTCCGGACAAGAGATGGGTTGACTACACATCGACCTCTTGATTAGCGGCCGTTTGCAGGTCTGCAACAGTACTCAAACCATAAATGATTTGATTTACAATTAAATATATGTTTCAATCATTCATTACAGGATCGCATTCTGTGGGACATATCAGTTGCGAGAATGAGGGACAGGGGGTATCAGTGGCCGACCCTTGGGTTCCGTTAGTTGTGCCATTGGTTTGATTGTATCTGCAGTTTCCTATGACTTCCAATAATAAACAAATTTTATTCATTACTGATAGTTAAATATTTGTTATAAAATAAATTTAATTTGATACCATTTTGATATGAATTGATTGCATTCATAGTTAGAATGAGAAGAATATTGAAATTCATAATTATTAGCCAACTTTGGTATAGATGTGACCATTCATTGCATGGCTGGCCATACATTGAATAGAATGCGAGTGCCGGACACCATTTGATTGCAATTATATTTGATTAGACATAGCTCTCAACCATTACATTCACAAAGTATTCAATGTCTAATTAAAAACCTGTGTATTCTCTCTCTCTCTCTCTCTCTCTCTCTCTCTCGCACTCACATTAGCACTAACTCTATAAATGGTTTATTTTATTCATAAAATCATTAATGACAAACTACTACAAACTACTTTAAACTAAATTATAGTAATTTCTACAGTAGTTTGAGTTTTACCCTGTTTATAATTTATAATTTTAGTTTGACTGCATGTATGTCTGTTTTTTATGCAAAAAATCGTGAATTTCTTAGAGCGCTATGAATACAAAGCATTGATGCGAGCATTGAGTGACTGTTGTATTAAAGTAAAACTAAAATTATGACCAGGGTAAGCATTTTGTGAACATTTTATGAATCGCGCATAAAATTTTAATAAATTTCCAACATTTTGGTGTAGTTTTTTGTTAGAAAAATATAATTGTAAATATTTTAAATTTTAATTTCAAATCCTGCTAATACACCGGGACACCCTATATTTAATTTACTAGTTGACTAATAGCACTAAACTTATTTACATGTTTACTTATTAACATATTTTGTTTATTTATTAACAATAATTTCAATTAAATTCTGTATGAATACAGATTATTCAAAAGTAGTGAACACAACATGTAGTGAACTCTACGAATGGAAAATGAAATTATTTTCGTATATTACACTATTGGCATTGAAATGAAATGAAAATTGTATTTGATTTGATTAACTTGAAATTGCAAATTTGTATATTTTATTATTAAATTACAAGTATAAAACCGTGTTAAACTTAGCTTCGTTAGAATATCATAATATTAACTTTGTTTAATGAATACCTCACAAATAATCAAATACTAGACTTTACTAAACTTATAGCGTTTTGTACTTTCTTAACTTTCTTACAAGTTAGTTTCCTTAATATTTGTTATCGCACTATTTGCAATACTAATCCTAATATTATTATAAATTCATGTAATTAGTAATATTAATTTTTAAAAATAAATTTCTGGAAAATATATACAAATAAATAAATATCAAAATGTATAGATTAATATACATTTGTATTCACAATTTAACACAATTAGTAAGATATTTAGTAAGATATTGATATAAATGGATTATATTAAAATTAGATTTATTTATAACATGATTTAAATTACTAAAATGATTTAGTAGTAATTTTTAATATAAATTAAAAGCTATTATATTTAGTTAGTATATACCGGTAATAAAATTTTATAAATAAATTATATAATTAAATAATATAGATAATTTATTTTTAGAATATTCTTAATATTTAATATATATATACTGTATACGAGCAATGTTTCAATATTTTCATGATTAAAAATAGCTATTAATTAGTATTATATTAATACTACATATCACTATTCCTTATTCTAACCTGTATCATTTAATTAATTAATAAATTGAGGCCTTTTTAAGACAATGCCTTAAGTGAACACATTTCTGGGGATTTAATTACAATTGTATTTCATTGGCGCTTAGGATTGAGTATTTGAATTGAATTCAGTTCACATCAATCTACAGGTGCTTTACATCTGTTTTACAGTAAATAAGTTCATGTAAGACATTGTCTGCAAAAACATTTTTAGGATTTGAATATTATATGCAATTATTTTTCAAAATTAATCATAATAATTATAAATATATTTATATAAACTTTGCTCGATATCATTAATTTAAATAAAATAATATAGGAAAGGAAACATATTTACATTTTCAATTTAAAGATTGTGATATTTTAAAAATTATTAAATATAACTTAAGCTTAATCATTTAAATACAAGACTCTGTTTAATCTAAATTAATTAAACAATTATTAGTGAGATTTTAAAATTTTAATAATAATATGTTTTCAAATGAAATGATTATACGAACGCATTTATTCTCAAATAATTAATTTATTAAAAGAAATAATTGACAAATGAATTTACATGTAAATCATAGCTTAATGTGTTGCTTGGAGTAAACATATTTATTGTGTGAAGCATTTAAATAATTTATTTATGATTTTATAACTTATAATTTATATCAATAAATAACTATATATTTCAGTATACTCTTCAGTATAGTCAGTGGAATCTTGTTTTTCAATAATAGATGGAATGGATTATGTGTTTAATAATGCAATCATTTACACAAGTATTTAACTAATTATTCTTTAAATAACATGTCTATTGATTCTGTGATCGCAATATTACACTTATATTGTCAACATCAAATTAGAAATTATGAAAAGCTTTTATATTTATATAGAAATTAAATTATAATTATGTATAATATTTATATAATTTGCTCATTAAATGGGATTCCATGACAAATAGACATCGATTTCGATTCATTTATGTACAATCATTTGATTTGTGTTCATTTGAATGTCTGATTACAATTTATATGTATTTTGGTTTTATTAAATGATTTTAATGTGTCAAAAGGGAAGACTAGGCTACTATCCAGCGCTTCAATCACATGAAACGACTCAATTAATAGCATTTATACTGAAAAATGTAGAGATATTTAGTTGTAATCATTCATCGTTTACGATAACATCTTTAAAATATAAGATATTTTTTGATTGTTACAATTGATTGATATCCTGTCCTTCAATGTTAAACATCGATTGTAATGCTATGGTGTCTGAGCTCTACTGTCTGTACCTCTTAAATAAAGGCACTTATGTATGATTGCGTCAAAATCGCTAACAAATGTTGAGATGAAAAGGCATCACATATTAAATGTAATAAATAAAGTCTTGTTAAGTAAGCATTGATTCGGTTTATAAACTAACTGTTTATAAGATTCATATGATTTATAGGATTTGTATGTTTATAAGGATGCCCTCAATTGAACAGTTAAGACAAGTCAGGAAATGGCTTAATAGATAAATAAGAGGTAAGTGTCGTCTCCGATGCCTTACTCTATGAGATCTCAACATAAGTCGACGGATTTGACGGGAAATAACTGTTTTCATATGAATTGTTTACTTAGTATTCAATTGTCACCAAGCATGTATTTATATGTCATCTTACACTACACTTCTTGTCATTACATTGTTATTATGTATGTAATACATAAGTCTTAATGTATTGAAAGCAACAATTATTTGATAATAATATATGAGATTTAAATTATCACTGATTTTGTAATTCAATTTTCAATTACTCCCATGTTTTATGTTTTTTGACAAATATATCAAATGATTAACTGCTTTCCTTTAATTGTATTTTTATCTCAAATACAAATACATTTATTTGAACTGTATTTTGTTGTCAGTCATATTATTATTATTATTATTTGATTATCTTTTTACACAAAAAAACAAATACTAATAATAAACTGATTCTTAATCTACACTTTAGCCTCATTTCAATAAATATTTAAATTATTAGTAATAAATCTAAAATAATTCTCATATCACAAAAAAATTGACAATTAGAGACAATGTGATATGGCGTTATCACAATTGTATTGGTATTAAAAGGTTAAAAACATTTGTTGATATCAAATTATATCGAATATGTTTTATTCTGATAATAATGTTTTTAATAATCTAAATACAATTGAAAATGAGAAAAAGTGTAGATTAAGTTATACCTCAATTTAGTTAGTGCTAAAAAATTACGGTACTCAAATTTTAACTGTTGATTGAAACCCTTAACAATAGATTGAAATATTACATTTAGTATATCATCTAGTACATTTAGTATACACTGTAATAATAATAGATATTTATTCCTAATATATAGAGAGCTTTGAGATTCTCTTTGAAATTTCTTCAATCTTTTTGTCTGTTTATTCGTTAGTAATAAATAATTTATAAGTTTTATGACTAGAAAATCAATAAAAGTTTCTTTTTCAGTACGAATGTTAGAAGTTTTTAATATAATAAATAGACAGTAATTTAATGACATATTTTAATACAAGAAAAGTTTAACATTTCAATAATAATATTATTATTAATATTTGTTGTTATTTATTAAATATTTTCTCATTATTTCAGTTAATATTCTTTAAGTAAGACTTTTCACAAAAATTGTTTTATTGAAAAGATTTTTAGAAATCAATTTCTAACATAATTATAATATGTAAGCAATTGAATGATACGGTTATGTGATATGACATGTGACTAGTGTTTTGTTGTTATATAATCTTTAAATCATTATTAACTGTTGCCAACACTCAAGAAATTCAAGTATTTATTATATAACTATTGTTTTGATATGTGCTTTGGTCTCAAATCTGCATTCAAAGCAAACAATAAGAGGAATGTATGACTAAATCGCAATCAAATGTATACTAAATATAAATATTAAATAATAGGTAATCGTAATGATTATGTCAAACAATTTGGTACAACTTTGGTCTAACTAGCCTTATATGCCTATACAGTAGCACTGTATGCAAGCAATAGTACAAATACATGACTATATGTGCAATTTGTGTGCAATTTGTGTGCAATCCATACATTGAAATATGTGCTCATCAGTGGGTGCTTTCAATTAGATATTTTTGGCCTAAAAGTGGTTGAATTGATTTGAAATATTTCTTACATAATTGTAATACTGATTACACGCCAACAATATAATGCATAGATTTATGTATAACTTATAAGTAAAATGTATGTAATGTTAGCTAAATGTATGATAAGAGAAGGCATTTTTGTTCGTTTATATCATGTGATTCATAATAAGAATAATAATAATAAATGTAAAAATAATATTCATAATAAAGTAATAATGAGTGACTTAATGGATATTTTCATATATACGATATATTACAAAATAATTGTCCACTTAAGAGAAATATATGAGAAAATGTGCACTAAATCTATGTGGAAATGTAGACTAAATAAGAATAATCATAAGAATTGTCAATAAAAATGAGAAATGAATGGATTATAAGCACAATTACAGTATCAATGGGTCCAATCAGACAAAATCGGATTCATTTCCAATGATATGAGTGACGACTAGTGCTCACTCATCGATAAATTTTTAAAAATTTCAATTTGACTTAAAAATACATTTTTGAAATCAAAAGGTTTTCTATATATGTCATAAATATTATATCATATAATACTGTATAAACATGGGAACGACTAGTAATACTGTGTTTTGAATCGGGATTTGACTTAAAATTTGTTTTTCTATAAATTATATTATGTTTTTTGTTTTCATACACATTATTATAACAATTTGTTTCAACAAACAGTTATAAGATATCTCTTAAAAATTTTTCCCTAAAATGACTGGAATTCATAAATTTGTATTCAATTACAAGATGTCAATGGATTTGAAGGCACGACTTCTCCCTATTGAACCAATTTCTTCAAAATATCAGCGAAAATGAGTTTTCAGTTCTTTCTCTTCGCACTCAAACTTATCGTTCAGTAGTTTTGTGTCACAAATAATAAGGTTTCGTTCAAATAATGATAATAACATTCAATTATTATAGACTATTATAATATAACCGCTGAATAATTAATTTAAATGTGAAAAAGCAGCCAAATTGAGACTAAAACGGTTTCGGACGGACGCTATTCAATGCCATCTTCTATATTCATTTGTTGTGTTTATATTATTACATATTATATTACATTTCATATATTATTGATGACTATTTTCAAGCAAACGATTGTCTCATTCCAGTTGTTCCAAGAAGTTTGGAGACTTGAAATACTCGGGAACGTTGTCGTCGAGTCTGGCGATCACTTTATAAATGGCTTTCTTCCACGACTGCTCCGAGTCTTTGCCCGATTGGACCGCTTTGAAGAACTCCCTCAGAGTCTGTTCGCTCACATAACGGAAGTTTTCCGGGACCTAAGAATCCATACAAATGTACATTTCATTAGTCATTAAGTAAATAAACTTTGCAAATGTAAAGAATTTTTGAAAAACACATTAAACACAGTGTTTGTGTTGAGCTGTAATTCAATGCTATGTTTATGACTTACATCGATATGATTATTGCGATTGTAGTGGAGATTAAGGACTCGGAGGAGTTCGGAGTCGTGGCTAACATGTAGTTCCTCAGAGTTCTTGATGCCTTCGCTGAGGGCCTGTCGCGCATACTTCTCCATTTGGATGTAATAAAACTCTCTGTTTATACATAAAATACAAGAATATTAGAGATTAGAGAATAACAAATAAATTACTGACATTTATATACAGTGTAAGGAATATTTAGTAGTAATAATAAATGATTTTAAGGTGTTTTACATGAAAAGAGGGAATATTATACATCGTATAATCAAAATCACTATTAGTTTTGTTAAATATGATTGTTGTGTTTATTAAAAGCCATTTATTAAATGACGAGATATTAAACGAATAGAAAGAGTTATGTCTAATAATTAACTGTTTATCAAAGGTTTGTAACTCTATTAAAGGGGACGGATATTATACTAATATTATGGCTATAAGTTGTAAATGAATCGACTAAATGGTTAGGAATGACCCGAAGAGGAAATACATTCTGCAAACTATTAGCTCGTTGTTTGCAATGGTGTTCACAAAATAGTCGTATCTTTTATCTTCAGTAGTAGTCTTGTGTCGTATCATTGGTTTCATTACAAAGGATTCACTAATTAATCAAATCTCATTAAAGAAAGGGTCCGACACTGCCTACCAGTGCTGTCATATACATCGATATCAAGTCATACAGCGATCTACAGCGCTGTTCTGTATAGTTGGGATCCGTTAGGCCGACGGATGCCTTATTGGGAGCATTTGTGTTATACTTTTGTAATGATATTATACATAACTATTACATTGAATAACGTAGACTCAAATCGCGGCCAAAAATAATTTAAATAGAAATCAATGGTTTATTTCATGGAATCTATTGTTTCATTGAGCGCCCATTCAATGCAATTGTAGGGAAATTTGAAAGCAATCTCTGCTTATAATGGAGTGTAAGTTTGCAAAAGGCATGAAAGCGCTGGTAAGTGAGTGTTTCTCTCTCACAATAAGTCTCTTATCTAACAAACATTTTTAAATCCTAAGAAAAAGCAGATAATAATGGGAGGAATGCATTAGACAAAGGGATTAGAGATGAGAGATAATATGCATAATGAAAGTTAACTTCATATGCGCTCAACATTAGCCAATATTAGTGAGTGGCACTGTTAGCTAACAGTACAGCTATAATGTGTGAGCCTTTGCCAACACTTTAATGGTTAAGGAATAGATGAATAGATGAGGTGACGATTGGAACAGTACTCTAACATACGAGTGCACTGTTAGACAATATATTACATGTATTATGCGATTATTATTCACTACTTTCTTATTACACTTTTATATTGTCCTTCACTAATAATGAGAGGCTGTGCTCTGCAATGCCTGTGCGATGTCTATGCTATGCCTATGCTATGGCTAATGTGCATTAATACTGATAAGAGATGCCAAAAGGCTTATGAGGCAACTAATGAGTTGACGCACCTGATTAGTGATGATTTAAAACATAGACATAGGCATCAGCCCATACAGCATACATGCCATACTGCATGCTGCACAAAAAGTAATCATTTGTCAAAAATCAAGTCAAATGAATGGTATAACAAAACATAGAAGAGGTCGTTTCATCGACTGTTTCTCGAATATATTATTGACATCATATTGTGTTCATAAATAAACTATTATATGAATAAAGTTGTGGCTATTGTTTCCAATTTCCTTGTATTAGCAACTCTTGCATTGTATGGCTATTCTGTGTGTTTGTCTCATTTGGCAAACTCTGCCACAAATATATTAAACTCAATCCATTGCCGACATCCAAGTGCTGATCGCACACCTGGCCTTTGGAGCTAAGCAGAGCATATCAAGCAATTCAGTGCCAAATATATGTATATTTAAGTTTGATATTACTGTACAGTATTGCAGACAAGAGATAGAATATATTTGGAGTATAGACACAAAAATACTTAATACAGCACAGGGAGGACAGGCACAGGCACTACAGGCACAGGCACTACAGCACAGCATCCCGTTTATTCATCGCTCGGATATTGAGTTTTGTTTCTCAACCTCTAGACCGTAACCGAGTGCTCAGTGCCAGCACTGGTAGAGTACGTGAAAGTTTCATATCTCCATCGCATTAAGGGCTAGACTTCCCCTTTGGCTCGTTATTGAACTAATAGGACATGCATTGCAATATTGGGTCAATACATCCTGATTAGCACAGGACTCATAGAGTATAGTACAGATACATTGCATTATACCGTAGTACAGTACACAGCTGCTTTTATTTTAAAGAGACATTGCGTTTACTTTTCTCAGATTCTCTCTCTCTCTCTCTCTCTCTCTCTCTCTCTCTCTCGCAATGCGTGAAACGCCCGACAAATAACACTAAAACTCAAACTTTTGTCACACAATAGTCATCCGCTCAACAAAAAAATGTCATTTTTGTGATTATTATGACTTGTGATGCAAGAGTAGAATACCTTAGTTTTAGTGTATGTGTTGTTTGGCTATGTTTGGCCTGTTTTAGTCGGATATCCGTACCTCTTCATGACTTTGCTCTGCCTCTGCCTTACATTATAAGAGTACACAAACACTACTCTATCCATACTTTTTGCATAAAAAAGCGCTCAAACTATTTAAAGCAATACCTCTTTTCCCTCTTTTTATATGGAATTTAAACTATTCATAGAATGCATTCAAAGTACTCGTCATTTCTCATTAGTGAACATCCGTTTAATTTAATACAATCTGTCGCTCAATCATCAAAACTCTTCTCAATATTAAGACTACACTAAAAAACTAGCGAACTGTCCCTCGCATGCATTCATATGCAAAATGCACACACATTTAAAACAATAGTCCACTTAATTACTAGTTACCAAATGAATTAAAACAAAGCAAACAAAACTCACCTAAAGTTGGAAAACCATTTGACGAGTTGTGCCGTATTATTCTTATTGAACTTAATGTCCGGGAAAAACATCTTCAGTATCGCAGAGCTCGGGTACCGCACGAAGAAGAACATGAGTTTGGCTTTCCTCAGATGCATTGGCGTCAGAGTACTGGTGTGCACAGGAGTTAAGGAGGCAAAGGATCACAATTTTTTTCATATTTATATTTATATCTAATTCATGGTTTAAATTTATAGCATTTTTCATAAATACATAACAATTCTGTACGAAAGCTTTCGATAGTATACTTTATGTCAATATTTAAAGAAAATTAGTTTTTCTCATTTGTTTGACTACAAGTTTATAAAGTGAACTAAATATCTAAATATTTCTCTAATGGTGGGGAAAACCACTGAAATAGTATCTTAAAAAGGAAATGTATTGACTTTAAGCTGAGAATTAGTTATTTATAAATAGCTGTAAATTGAAATTGTTATGCATTCATATAAAACACTAGTGTTTGCATTCGCTGTAAGACTACAGAATAGCTGTAGTTATAGCAAAAGAAAACTTGCTTTTTTGTATGAAAAATGTTTTGAACGGAAAAGGATATCATAGGCATAGATGGGTCGTACACTTGAGTTTCGTTGGTTTCAGATCCTTCGTTGCCATTGTCTGAACCACCCCTTCCGTACTGGAGGGATGGCATGACAGTCGCTGGGTATCCATGCAGAGAGTCGGGCGACGCCCGGCTGGCGGCCAACATATGCAAGTGATGGGCGGCGGCCGCGTGTGCGACGGCTGACACCACCGCCGAGTGACTCTTGCCATCGCGGTTGAGATCCGAGTCATCGCCGAACAGACTGAGCCGCGGGTGCTCTCCGAACGGGAAGTTCGCGCCACCGAACAGATCGGTCTGATGAAGACTGGGATTAGGTATGGCCACCGATGTGGGCAAAGACACGGGCACTAGAGGTGGTGGTGGCTGTGAGGGGCCGTGACTTTGATAGTTCATGGAATTGGGCGGCGATACGGAAGAGGCCTCTCGGTTGCAGACAAGCATCGAGTCCTGGCCTAAGAGTCGGCTCACAGTCCGCGGCGTAATCCTAGTGTCCGTCACTTTATGGCGCTTTCGTTTGGGCGCCACCACTAACGCCATGGCCTCTGTCTGTTCGGGAAGGGGTTCGTCGGGGGATCGGCCGAAGAGATGAGAGTTGGAGTGGCCGTTGGTGTTCATCGGAATGTTATGGATATCTCTATTGCTATAATTGTTTGATTGATCGCTGCGTTGGCTTAAACTCGAAGCAATGCTATTGAAATGATGGGCCAGAGCTGATGGAATGAGGGCCGGCTGTTGAGGCATCTGTGCGCCTACCGGTGCCACATTAGGCATGTAAAAGGGAGACTTGAAGTTCGGCGTCGGGAATGAGAAGGGCGTCGGTCGGGGCGCGGGTGCCGTCTCTGTCGGAAGACTGAAAGGACTGCCACGAGAGGAGTGACCGTTTAGGTTAGTCTTCATAGCGTTGCCTATATTTGCGGCCCCAATGGCAGCCCCCCTATCGATCACTTTAGTTCGCGGAGACTTTGAGTCCAACATTTGGGACAAAATCGTGATTTCATTCTTGGATTCGTTTGAATCGAAATTCAATTTCTGATTTGTTGGTCGTTTTGTCAGAAACTTAGCGAAAGTCGTGTCAATTATTTGCATAACAGAGCTCTGAATATCAGTCTTAAGTGAGTCTATTAGCCAATCCATGTCTGTCGTAGGGGCCGGTGTGGAGGACAGGGAGCCAGCGGTGCGCACAATGCAGGACTGGCGGTCAGAGCGCCGGGCGATCTTCTCCTGCTCTGAGATGAGACGTCTGGCTTCGTCCAGAAAATGCGAGGCATCGCCGGCGCCGGTGTTTGGGTTATGGGCGGTGGGCGTCGCGTTCGCACTCATGTCTCGGTTCGTCATTTCACTCATTTGCGACACCGGAGTGGTCGGCCCCTTGTCGGACGCCATTTCCTCCATCTCTGTGTCGCACTCATCTTCGGCCGATATAGCAGTCGTCAGATTGACGGGACTGGAGGTGAGAGACAACTGCTTCTGGTGTGCCTGCAATTGCTGCGCTTCGAAGAGCTCCACATACCTCTGTCTCATAGCAATCAGCTGTGATTGCATGTCCTCCAACTGACGGCGCAAGTCATCCCTGTTCTCGGTCTTCGCTCGTTTGGCAGACAAATCAATTTGAGAGACAATATCCTCGTCGTCGTCCTCTTCGTCGGCCAAGTACTCGACCTCTTCGTCCTCATCGGGCGGTCCGTTGAGTTTGCTTTGCTGGGGCTGATAGAGCTTCCGCTTCTTACACCCGTTGACCGACACATTCATGGCGTCTCCATTGCCTCCTTTGAGGCCTCCCAGTGAGGGCCCATTGCCTCCTAACAACATATTGGACACAATGTTCTCAACTCTGGCTCTCTTGACGTCGATGGCTGAGCCACTGTTGCTGTTGTGAGTGTTGGGACGGTTGGATTGGGCCGATGCTGTAGGAGAGGGCGATCGCGAAGATTCGTGAAGTGACTTATCTTTGATGGGAGAACTCTGATCAGTGCTGTTGATGATGTGATCCATGCCTTCGTCATCTCTGCTGTCCGGGCGTTCGCTCTCCTCCTCGTCGAGATCGGACGCATCCGAGCATTGAGAGAGTCCTCCCTCTCCTGCCTTTCCTCCCTTTCCTACGCCGTTTCCGGAGCTGTTTGGCTGGCTTTGGTTGGAATGGTTTGATTGGTCAGCCTCTCCACTATTCTCAGCAAACTTTCTGCCAGTTTGGAGAATATCGCGTAACAGATGAGCGCCGGGAGCCGACACTTCGGATAAACTTTTTGATGACAAATAACTGCCACTCGTTTTGAAATTAAACTCTAATTCGGATGAATGGCTGCTATTATTGTTAATACAATTGGAAGTGTTATTAGTATTGATATTATTATTATTGGTTTCTGTCTTGAGAGTCACAGAATTGAGTCCATTAGCGCCTCCGTTCACAAAAGGAGGTGCACTCAGGCCTCCGTTCACTAATTGCATGACAGTCTCCTCGATGACAATCATGTCGTTGGCGTTGGCTTTGGAGCTGTTATTCTCTGAAGACTTGGCGATGATATCACCGATGAATTTACTATTGGGAGATATGTTGAGACTGTTGCTGTACTGGTGGTACTGGTGGTTGAGATAACCTCCTCGTGAGGAGAAGTTGGCAATACTCGCGTAGCTGTTTCTGGGCTCTCCCGCATCCACTCTCTGACGAGTTCTCTTGATTTTACAGCCTTTTAAAGACTGGTCTGACATGACATCCATAGACGAGTCCTCTTCCGACGACATCACGTGATGTCTTCCAAGGCTTACCACTGGACGGAACCACAACGAAGAATAATACGACGACTCACTTCTCGCAATTGTGATGCACTCAAGTGTACAGACAATCACAAAACCAAAGGAAAGGCTCTATCCTAGTAAGACATCCCTTCCCCTCACCCACTGATATGATAGGATCGGATGGGACGGCACTTCTCTTCACTCGGTTAGTAGGCTTTCCAAAGTTATAGCGATTTTAGTAGGCTTTCCAAAGTTTATAAGAGTTGTGTCTGAAATATATTAAACAAAAGTCCAGGTGTTAGTAATTGCCTCTGGCACTGGTGTTCATATAATTATGGCTATACTTCGGGCCAACGCTTTGCATAAAGGCTTATATAATAGAGTGAGAGATGAGATGAGAAATACATTTTCATTGCATCACTGACTAAATGATTTGGGTTTGAGTTCATCTCATAAATACTCGATTCGTTACTTTAATGCTAACGTCTGTCTCCCTCTATGCTATATACAGGCTATGCAATGCATACAGTGCTATGCCATACACACTCTCACACTCACATACGGCTCGCAAACACAGCTTAACATTCAATATAAAAAAGAAAGTTAAGATCAGAGCCCAAACCCACCCTCAGAATACACACTACACTCAACACTACAGTGTATATTAGAGAGAGACAGAGAGAGAGAGAGAGAGAGTGAGTGATTGGTGTTGGGGTACGGGATGTTCCCAGGATTGCAGTGATTCTTGTAATTCTTGTGGATGTGAGTGTGAGAGTGTGTATGGCATAGCACTGTATGCATTGCATAGCCTGTATATAGCATAGAGAGAGAGAGAGAGAGAGAGTGAATATAATGTAACCGTTAGTGAAATGAACCACAAAAACACGAACTCTTAATATATGACAGAATAATGTAAGAGTGAATGGTATGAGAGGACGATCACAGATGTGAAGCGTTAAAGTAGTCTAAAATTCGTTGAGAGATGCGGTCCCTTCGCTCATCCCATGCCTGCCATCAATTTTATTATACCATTCAATACTATACACCACTTTTTCAATATTAATTTTTTATTGAATAAAATATTCAAATGCTATTCATTTATCTATAAATAGGATGACATATACTTTAAAAATTCTTCGAAACAATAGATAAATATTGAAAAAACTTTTTTCTTGATAATAAATATTAGTAATGAATAATTGAATGATTATATAATTCAATGATAAATGTATGCATGATTTCATAACTAACTTAAATGAGATGCGATTGAGTGTTAAGAAAGGAAATGCTGTGACAATAGGAGAGTTACAAAGTTTGCATAAATATTATTTCTAGTAAATTGAATTGAAATAACATAATAGTGTTGAGCGCCGGATGGAAGTGATATTGATATGATATATTTGGTCTCATTATTGGCTCGAATACAGTGCTAATAAAAAGCACAACATTTTTATTCCTCCGATAATAAGTTTAAATAAAACAAATTAAATAAACTATAAATCAATTATAAAAAGTTAATTTTCTTGAAAATAGAGATTTGATTGTTTTGTTGTTGTGTTGTTTAGTGGGGAACGGGAGGCACACATATAAGAAGCGACAGAAACAGGCGAACACTTCCTTCCTTTGAAGAACAATTACGAGTGAAGAAAACGAGGGAAATGCTAAGTAAGTAGCGGTAGGACTGCAGGCACTACAGGCATACAGGCACTGGTAGCACATAAACAAGAATTTAGTGCTTAGATAAAGGCGAGGGTTGGCTCGACTCTAAAAGAGCTGTTAAATTTCCTGACGAAGGAAGTGAAAGACAACTGTAGATTACGCCTCAAGAATTACAAGAATCACTGCAATCCTGGGAACATCCCGTACCCCAACACCAATCACTCACTCTATCACTCTCTCATTCTGTCTCTCATTCTGTCTTTTTTATACACACTTTACAATCGATTCTAAGGCAGGATATAATGTGTATGTGTTCTCCCACTCCCGACTCAGATATTAAAATTTAGTCAAAACTTAGTTAAACATTCAATACTATGCGACGATTAAACAGTCAAATGGCAACTGGAAGTGATGTACAACTTGTGGAGCGATAACACCACCAGAAGAGAGAGAGAGAGAGAGAGAGAGAGAATTGTAAAGTGTGTATAAAAAAGACAGAATGAGAGACAGAATGAGAGAGTGATAGAGAGAGAGAGAGAGAGAGAGAGAGAAGTTTCATGAAATTAGTTCATTATTAGCTTTTGTATTCATTTAATGCTTTATAAGACAACATCTTATATAATAAGTGTTAAAAAGCAATTTATTTCACTATAAAATAGACATATTAGACGCACTGAAAGTTTATATTGAATTTTCAATTATTCTCGACTTTGCGTTCATAAGTAAATCACTTTTTGGGAAATTAAATTCAAATCTAATCATTTGATTGAGCATTGAATGAAATTTTCTTTTATTATTAAATCTTATCTGAGTTTTATATAATATACGGTAAGCATTGATTTGTGAAACTATTTTTAAAATAAATGTAAAACAGTTTTACGTCACAAGCGATTCACTAAAAGTATAGAAAACTTATTCTTTACGTTGAATGCATTAAATAGAGTAAAAGTATTGAAATATTCATTAAAATGAATACATTATTCAGAATAAATTTATGGGTAATACAGACACAATAGACATGTCATTAAAACACAATATCGAGTTAAAGCAAAACATAAGTTTATGTTATTACCACAAATGCGCACAAATATAGCCGGGGTCATGAAAATAGTCAATTATGAGGTCAAATCAATACAAATATGCAACACATGTCAAAATCTCTTGCAATTTCATCCCAAATGTCAAATGAATTCATTTGCAAAAATACATGATTTGGGTCTCAAATCAATTGATAAATAGGATTACATTAAATGCACACAAATTATAATATAATATAATTACTCACATTATAATGGTTTAAATTTGATAGCATTTGTAGTGATATAATATTGTATATAAAACTTTGTGATCGATTCCTCATAAGGACTGAGCATTGACTGCAATCATACTAATAGTGCTTATTGTATGAGAAGTGGTGGACTTGTAAGTGGTATCAGTGCTGCAAACATATGACATTAGCTGATAGGCATGTCTGATGCCTAACTGATCACTACTTCACTACTGTGTATTGGATATTAGAAATGTTCAATAGATATAATCAGTGAAACTTAGATATTATTGCCTCATGTTTTAGTAATTTATGGAAACAGATAATTGCATTCATAGGGAACTCATCGGTGGTAATCCCCTCCACATAAAGAACTATTTTGTCAAACGATAAAAAACTTATTATGAAAATAATGTGCTTTTTTGGTCATAAAGTACAGAATATGGATTTGAATGATATGTTTTGAATTCATTACATTTGTGTAGATTATGTTCTTAATTATCATCTATGAGTTGAGAGAGACTCGGCTTTCAATGGACACAAATGACTGCCCCCTCTAATGACTTGAGAGCACGTGCAGGTAAAATACGTTTGGGTTTGGGTTAGGGCTCTAATTAGTGGCTTAGATGTCCCGCTATAACAACAGGCATTGCCGGCAGAGTCTGCACCGGGAGTACTGTCTGCACCCTAAGAGCTAAAGTATAGCTCTCTGGTTAGGTTTGGCCTAACGCTGGCTAATGGTTGAGTTGAGCACAAGTATTGAGTATTGATTATGATTGAGGGAAAGACAGAGTTAGAAATGATTGGACGTACTGTGAGTTCAGTCTTTATTTTAATTCTAATAAAATATCTTTCAATGTATTGACAAATGTTTCCGATAAGTAATGTTTCATTCGGTGTGTGTGTTGTGTATTGTGTGGGAAAACTTATTGGACCACAACATCCAAGTGAATATGTAATAGACTCGCAATAAGGCTCAGCCGGAAATTTGAGAAATAGGCCTATACTTAGGTGTATGTCTAGTATATTGGAAGTGTATGTTCAGTGTATGTGCAGTAGTGCTGTGGCTGTAGAGCACAGTGGATATACTGTAGTGAATATATTGATGACATAACCTCATGACAGTACTGCTCACAACCACAGGTGATGCAGTAGATGATAGTGGACTCCATTTCTATTAAGTGAGGACTTCGTGGGAATAAAACAATGTCACAGAGAAATGCCTCATATTTTCGATTCAATGCATAAAAGCAATGCATGCGATATAATATAAATTTCAAAAGACTATTGTATTTTCATTTTATTACTTAACTCTAAAAAGTGGTATTCAGTGGTATAGTAAAGCATGAAATGTCATGTTGAACATAATGTGCGGAATCAATGTTCTCAATGTTGCCGATGTTCTCAATTTAGTCAATAGGTCTGTGCTCTCTATGTACTGTTTCCTCTAAGCAATACAGACTGATTCACCTGATCAAACACATCCATCCCGTTCCCCATTCGATATGATTAAATACATGTGAATGACTTATCAAATGAGCTCTAACTTAGTCAACGGCACTGACCTCCTCATCCTCATCCTCTATCACACATTGTTTGACACTTTTCTCTGATATTAGTATAAATACTATCAATAGTATTGCCGTTACTATTAATTATTATATTTATATATAAATAATCGCAACAATCGATTAACTCTAATATTTCCTACTTTTTCAATAAATTCTTCAGAATAGCTATTAGTTTGAAACAAATGACAAAAAATTATAAAAATTATTTTTGTCGTCAGAACTATTGTCTCTCGTTTGCTATCAATAGGGCGTCAAATGCTGTTATGATATGTTTGCAAGAATTCTTACATAATTTCTACCGACTGGGGGGTAGGGGTGGAAGTCATGGCACGCGCCAAACAGTCAAACCAAATGAGAGAGAGAGAAAGAGAGAGAGAGAGAGAGAGAGAGAGGCAAAGTGGAACAGCAGCAGCACCAGTATGAGCACCAGTACCAGCCACACGCATCAGTGCTACATTTAAAAGCAGTGTTTGGCTGCCAAATGTTGCCTCAAACTTGCTTTTAATAAC